TTTGTTTTTCTCTTCTTTCTTTTAATTTTTAAAAAATTAAAGATCATACATTTTTGAAGAGCAGTTTTTATTTCTCTGGTTCACTGTCAATCTTTATACCTGTAAATTAAAAAAAATATGTCTGGACTTTATTGTTATGTTCTTCTGTTTTGACACTATATAAAAGGCATCTCCCTGACTACGTTATAGAAACTGTGATCCTAACGTGGGCTAACACTTTAAGAAGCAGCTTGACACTGTTTTTCATCCCCTTAGCCTGGGCACTGGATTGTTTCCAGTAATCCTACCGTGAGCCTGTTTCTTCACATAGCTTAAATTCATTTATAATGTTCCCCCAGTCTACATCCCCAAAAATGCAATTACCAATTCAAAATGCTTTTGTAACTTTTGACATTATTGCCAAATTGTTTGCTGTTATTGCTACATGGCTTGACCTCTCTCCACTACCTCTGCCTCTAGGTCCTGGTGCCATTGTCACTGCAGGCTTGGGGAAACTATACATTATAATTTAAGATACTTTTTCCTAGGCAGAAAATTCATCTGACGTTTTGAATTTTATGTGAACCAAACACAAAGAAAGACTTTCTGAAAACTGCTATCAAATTAAAAAATCAGATAAAGGGAGAAAATCATATTTATATAGATAAATGTCACTAGCTCAGAAAACTCAAATCAAAAGCCATTAAAGCCATCTATAGCATTTGTCATTTTTTAACGTAGTCTTTGGGTCAAAATAAAGGTCGAGGGTAACAGAAGATGAATGAGACGCAAGTCACTGGTTACCCTTCCCCTCAAGCGCTGTCTGGTTCCTGTCTGGTGGTAGATTCAAAATATCTTACAATAATCTTTTAAAGAAGTGCTTCAAACATTCCTATTTACCACAGGTTTTCTGGGAAGTGATGTGACATCTGTGAGGCCCACGGAGCTGAGCCTCCACTCTAAACACTTTCCTCCCTTCGGGCATTCAACCTCAAGCTCTTGGAATAACATCACAGAGTAGCCAGCACACTGAACCCCAGCCTGTACCCTATAAGCAACTCCATTGACTTAAGACATGCCTCACTTGGATGTCAGTAAACAGAAGTACAGCCACAAGATGCAGGTCCTCGAAAGAGACATGTATCCGGCTAAGAAAAGTCCCGAGCTCCAGCGTTTTGGTTAAGACTCTCTGGCTATTTTCCCTTTTGGGTTGGGACACAGGTAACATACACTGAAGGCCTCTGAAGTGAAAAAAAAAAAAAAGGAATCCTAAAACTTGTAAAAACAATCTTGTGTTCATTAGCTTTCCCTCATCAGAACAAATAAATGAGATAGTCAGTTTAAAGAGAGAAGGGTTGTTTTGGTTCACTGTTGCAGAGGTGTCTATCCGTGATCAGTTGGCCCTGTCGTTTGGGGACTTTAACAAGGCAGCACGACATAGCAGGGGCCTGTGGTGGAACAAAACTCTCACCCCATGGCTAGGAAAGGAAGGGAGAGGAAGAGCTAAGGCCACTGTCTCCCTCAAGATCACACCCCACTGACCTAAGCACTTCCCCCCACTGAAGGTTTTCCTGAAGCGCCACCCTGTAGACAAAGCCTGTCACATGGGCCTTTGAGGGAACACTCTGTAAGTCAGTCCCTGTGGACTGGGAAGAGATCAGTTTCCTACCTCAGCCTCCCAGGAAGATGCCTCGGTGGCCTCTTTCCCAAACTTCCACCTTCCTGTCACACTTTTCTGCTGGTCACATGGTCTTCTGGGTGTGGGTTACGTACACTGGCCTTGGCCTCTTGATGGTAGTCAATTGGGAAGCCTTGTCATCCCCTGGCCTGTCTGTCCATCACTGGTCCTCCACATCAGGGCTCTCCCTACTAATCTCTTCCTGCTCTCAATCTGACTAGCCCTTATCAGTCTGTTCTCTTAAAGCAAAAGGCATAGCCCCTATTCCTGTAGGCAACGTCTACAAGTTATGTCCTGACTGGGCATGAGCTCAGCCTCCAT